GGCAGAATAGAGGAAATTCATGAAACATCCTGTTCCCTTCCTTTTATATATATATATATATATATATATATATATATATACACATATACATATACATATACATACACACACATATATATATATATATATACACACACACACACACAAAAAATCTATATATATATATAAAATGATACTTCAGTGATGTAGATCATGGCCTCTTAGCCAAAAGGGAATTCTGCTGCAAGCAGCAAGCTAAGAAACCCTCTTTTGATCATCATGGCTGAACAATTACAATGGCTACATTCAGACTAGCTCAGAGAGCTAACACAGGGACTACATAACCCTTAAAGCTACAATCAAGGGACTTAAGTGTTGCATGGACTATATCCTGGCTCTCTGGTGAATTGTGCACTACAGATTGCAGCATATTCCACCAAAACATAGACGCTTAGGCCAGAAGGGACTATCATGATCATCTAGTCTGACTTCTGACAAATTTCAAGCCACAGAACTTCACCCACCCACTCATGAAATAGATCCCCTAACTTCTGTCTGAGTTACTGAAGGCCTCCGATTATGGATTAAAGATGGCAAGTTACAGAGAATTCACAAGTTACTCTAGTTTAAACATGAAAGTGTTACATGAAAGTAACCCATGCTTCATGCTCTAGAGGAAGGCTGTCCTCCGCCTCATGGTCTCTGCCAGTCTCCCCTGAGGGAAAATTCCTTTATGACCACAAATATAGCAGTCAGCTAGACCTTGAGCATGTGGGCAAGATACTTAGGAAGGAATTTTCTCTAGTGTCTTGGAACCCTCCCCAGCTAGTGTCCCATCACGGCCCTTCCTCTAATTTCAGTAGGAAAGTTGATATCCATTTGTTCTTGTGTGCACATTGGCACTTACTTTACACAATTTTTTCCTTCAATAGGATTTCTCCTACTGACGTATTTACAGAAAGCAATCATATCTTCATTCAACCTGCTTTTTGGTTAGACTAAACAAGCCAAGTTCTTTGAGTCTTTTCTCATGAGGTAGGTTTCTATTCCTCTGATCATCCTAGTGGCCCTTCTCTGTTCCACTGTGAGTTCATCTTTCTTAAATATAGGAGATCAGAATTGCACACAGTATTCCTGGTGAGAGCTCAGTATTCCTTGTTCAGCAGTACTAACACTTTCCAAACTCCACGGGAAATACTTCTCCTGATGCATCTTAGGACGGCATTCGCTTTTCCCCCAGCTGCATCATGGTGGTGGCTCAAAGTTATCCTGTGATTGACCAACACACCTTAGTCTTTCACCTTCTCAACACTTTCAGTTGATACATCCCCAGCATATAGCGAGAATTCTTGTTGATCACCAAGTACATGATCTTGCACTATTAAATTTAATTCCATTTCTAACTCCAATTTTTGAGAATATCTTCTTATGTGGCATTCTGTTCCTCCTCCAGATTGGCAATATCTCTCAAATTTGTGTCACCTACAAATGTTATTGACACATACATCCTTTTTGTTCCAAGGTCATTAATAAAAATGTTTAATATGCTATGCCCCAAGCCCAACTCCTGAGAATCTTCACTAGTAACCTCCCCTTCAGTCTGATAAGTCACTTTATCAGTATGGCCAATTGTAGGCATAATCAAGGCTCCATAATGGAAACATTTTTCTTTTGGAGGGAAGACTGTCGCCATGTATAGCAGTCAAATAATCACTACACACTGGGCTCAGCAGTGCAACCCCCTCACTGTTTTATCTGTGCCTGAGTAGCTAAGAAAAAGGCAAACCCAGCATTTAGTGGCTTTTTCATATGAGCACAAGGGGTCTCTCTTCTGTGTTTGTGCAGCACCCAGCACTAGGGGTCCGCAGAACTGATTGGGATCTTTGAGCGTTATTATGCTAGCAATTTATTCTTGCACCGGTGGTGCAGGTATAAATGGGAAAGCAGCACAAACTCTAACAGGCCCATTTGGGGAATGTTGAAAAGAAACTGCAAGGAAGAACAACAGAAGGTGATGGCTCCTCAGGTCTGCTGGAGACACCTGTTCTACAGATGATCAGCCTGCTGGGGGAAAAGTGTGCAATGTGAGAAAGCGCAGAGCTAGCCAAGAAGGGACACAAATGGTTCAAATCTGCATTTCTCTGCAATAATGCGGGCATTTTAATTCACTGGGCAATGACTAAGGCTTTGTCTACACTACCAAGTTTTGTCACCAAAAACTGCCTTTTGGCACCCAGTAAGAGTACACACAGCAATGAGACTTTTGTGAGGAACAATGCCCAGGTTCAGCAACATAAAGCTTCCACCCCATAAGAGACTTTTTTCTTTTCTCCTCCCCTGATTGTGAACAAAGAGCCGGTGTAGACATTGCTATTTGTTTTGTGGACAGAACTGACTTCCACCAGTTTCCCAGAATGCCTACCCTCTTGGTTCTGCTCAGTGTTTGATCTTTGCTTCCCTGCAGACATGAGCCCCTCCTCTTTCAAAGCTCTGGGAAGTATTTGACAGCTGAGGGAGTTGCTCTTTTCGGGGAATAAACAAAGAGCAAACCAGGGGAATGCTCCGATTCAGCCCTGCACTAGGAATACAGTGGCAGACTGCTGCTGCTGCTGAGGGAGGTGGAAAGCCACCGTCCTGCACTGACATTATTCAATGTGGAGAGCTCACAGAGCTATTCATGATGCTGCTCCTGACAGCTGAGAAGGCTTTTGGAGAACTTGGAGGGTATCCCAAGGTGCACAGGGATCAGATCTGCCTTCTCACTACACTGCACTTTGGGATCCATACCCGAAGGCTATGTTTATACTGCCTCCATTTTGTGCAAAAAATATGCAAATGAGGCAAAGCATGGAATATCGCCACACCTCATTTGCATATTTAATGAGGCCCTGTTTTTGCGCAAGAGGCTTTTGCACAAGAGTCATTCTTCTGCATTTTTTTCAGGAGGAATGGCTCTTGCGCAGGAGGGGGTTTTTGCACAGAAAGGAGACATCTACATAGCTTCTTTTTGTGCAAAAACAGCCCTAATTAATTATGCAAATGAAACATGGCAATATGCTAATCCGTGCTTCATTTGCATAGGCTTTTGCACAAGAATAGATGTAGCCTCAGGGGGTGCACAGGTCACATCATTCAGGTAGCTTGGCTTCTATAAACCTTTATTCTCCAATAACAGCGATGAGTTGGCGGAGACTTGCTATGACTGAACACAATTGGGAAGGGGGGCACTCATAATATATTAGGTTAACATACCTGCTTTGACCTTATGTATACTATATCAATACCATGAATGCAATACCTCTTAACGTGGTGTATACTATGCCTAACATTTATGTCTTGGTTTATACCACCACCAAAGGAGAAAAGAAAAAATGTTTTACTTAGAAAAGTGAGGCTCATTCCCATAGTAATAGTGCTCAAGTAGACCACAGTGTTTTCATTTGGTAATACTAATGGCTAAATAAAGTTCGATAGATAACCCACTTAACATTTACTAGTTTTCATTTGTTGGGTACTTTTTTAATAGCATATGATTAGTGGCATAGCTGGTAAGTTTAAACTTAGAGAATAAATATGGATGGAACTAGTAAAATAATGTTTAATACATTATACCTTCCACCCAACAAGTTCTATTATTATTACAATAGCATTAGAAGACCCCCGGATAGGTGTTTTACAAACACAAAGGTCTGGTCTACATTTTAAAAGTTACAGTGGATTAACCAATTTTAAATCCATCTATTTAAACCTCTAATGTAGATGCGCTTAAATGTTTAACCCTCATTTCAACCATTTTAGTAATTCTCCAATGTATGTTAACCAAACTTAAGGTGTCATGTAGTTATATTAAGGGTTTGCATTAGTTTAAATAAATCAATTTTAAGCTAATTTAAACTTGTCCCATTTTTTTACATGACAGCAAGCAGCTAGTTAGAGCCCCGGGCCTAAGAGTTTAGTGCCCAAGCTATGTAAAAACACAAGTCCCATTGAAAGATATGCTGAATAGTTTCCAGGGAGATTTGTGTGCCCACCTCATTCAGGTGCTTTTGAAACTCTCCCCATAGGACAAGAAAGCCGGAAGGTGGGATGGGAAACCGAATCACGGAGTTGACGGAGTTCAGTGTCTCAGCAGTGCCAGGAAGAACATCAGGTCTTCTGATTCCCAATCTAGTGCCCTATGTTCTGGACCACACTGCTCTTTTAATTAGACAGACCCATGTGAGTGAGAGCTTGAGGATGGAGAGCAAGTCAGCAATATTCCCAGAACCAGCGTGAGATGGGAGAGAAAAACTGCACACTGAGCAGCTGCCTTTTGGCCTGCAGCAGCAAGAGAAGTAATAGGAGATGGGGCTTGTTTTTTCCCCCAACTCTATTTCTAGACATGGCACATTCAGGGCAATTTGGGGATGTGCACAGTGCTACCACCTGTGCTGTATGTGAGGCAAGGACTTCAGCCCTCTGGACTGAAAATGGCAAATACTTAAATCTCTATGTAATGTTTTTTAAAAAGCGACATTATATAACTTGAACCTTAGAAACAGAGGGAATGTTCTAGGCAGTAGGTACATGGCGGGGGAGAGGGGTGTCTCAGAATTTAGAAAACATTGGTATTAATCACCAGGCCTCAGCATGAAGGAACCTTTCTATTCAATTCCACCTTGTCTCACACGGTGATTTTTGCTCCTAACATTGAGGAGAAACTGCAAACTTGTCTGTCAGGAGATTCAATTCTTAAATCCACGTGATGAGGAACTGGGCAAAGGAGAGTGTGCTGAAGATCCCCTCCCCTCTCTGCATATAACACAGCATTTCACAGGGCGTAATGCTTCAGGGAGCCTCTGTTGCAATGTGTCACAAGAACACGCAGCCACCCATTGCTTTTCTTTTCTTTATTTTTTTATTGAAATCTTCATCAAAGAAAACAGAAGTTTAAACCTAACATCCACTGATCTACAGAAAGCCCCATGAGTGGGAAAATGGCAGCTATTAGGATTGTGGTACAAATGGAAAACAAAAATTAAAAAAAATCATAGTACAGTTTTTCAAGGGACAGTCTGAGATACCAGCACAATGATGCCCTTATAAATAAGATTAATAACTTAATGACTCACAGAGGTTCTTTGGCCTAAAATATGCACATAGCAAAGTTTGTTTTAAAGAACCTCTGTTGCATTTATGTGAAACATGTTTTCTTGATAGGAGTTCATCTGTTTTTAAAACCACATTGATTTTTCTTAAATGGAAGCTTTTATTTATCTATTTTTAATGGGAAAAAATTAAAAAAATTGTATGTGACTTTTGGATACTCCCTGGTTTTATAGGTTTTTCTTTAAAAAGTGGGGGGAGAGGGAGTGATTTACTCATTTCCTGGGATACAGCACCTTTAGTAATAGTTACATTGAAAATCATGTTCTCCTTTCTCCTCACGAGGCTGCATATTGGAGATCTTCAAAATACGTGACTCTAAATTTAACCAGATATAAATATGTCACCCTGGAGACAGTAACCAAATTCAGAAAATATAATTAATACTGAGCAGATTTTTTTAAACAATGGGCCCATCTCTTAGGGGTGTTGAACATATAACAGGATTTGGCCCTACAAGGAAAAATGGCTCTGTGGACCTGTCAAAAACTAACTTTTTGTATTTCCTTACAAACTGCCATTAAAGTGAAAGAAATGCCAACGTTATAGGCATGGAATAAGACCAAGAATAACTGATATAAATAGAGGAGTTTCTCATCATTGGAAAAACAACATATTTTTGTACAGTTTTGTCATCTTTTTTCTCTATAACAAAGAACACTTTCAAAATGGGGAGATTACTGGTCTCTTCTGCATTCTCTGAGGAATGACACAGAGTCTCACAGGTGCATACAACATTCCAGTCTATTGGGATGATATGACTGAAGCGGAAGACGGGTGCTTCTTCTGAGAGAAAAATAATCCCCTCCCTCACTCACTCACACTCCAGGCTTGCTGTCTGAGGATTCCAGAAATCCACTTTTGCTGAGGAATATAAAAAGTCGGCTGATGATTTGAACCTTCTTCTGTTAATGTTTGTGCATGATTGTGTGTTGGCATGTATCAGAAATGAATCACTACTACGGTGGAGAAAAGAAATGCCATCAAACAGAACACATTGGTTCACTGGAGTAGTCACCGTGTTTCTGTTTTCCTTTGTACTTCTACCACACCGTTAGTATTTCCTCAGTTTAGATGAGCTTCCTAGATCTCTAAAATCCCTTGCCCAACTGCACTTCTTTTACGTCAGGACCAATTTCATGTTGAATAAAATTCTGAAAAGAAATGTTGACTGTGTGGGGATCAAACATAACTATCTCCTACTACCACATTTGGTCTCATAACTAAAAGTGGATTGATTCATTACTTTAAGCCCATTATCACTCTTTAGCATGACTCTTACCATAGGTAGAGTTCAGTGAATCTCCTTAAACCTGTTTCACTCATGTCAACCTCAGCATTAAAATGAAGAGGCTGACTGATAAGCACCATCAAACTTAAAATTATGAACCAAGGCAGCTTATTACACATTTAGTATTAATCTCATCCTTCAGTACCATAGACAACATAATATAGATCAAAATACTATGACATATTAAAAATAAACTTTATTACAATGCAGGCTTCCTCAAATTTGCTGAATTTTGGTACACACACACACATACATAAATAATTCCCTTCATCTGATTTTTACTCATGTAAAAATCCATTTTAATGCTTAATCCCATTGCAGAATCCCTCACTTTCCTGATCACCATCTGTCATCTTCCATAGTTGTGCATGCATCCACAGCAGAAGATAATATAACATGATGAAATTGCTCTAAAATACATCTCGTTCTGTATTACATTTGGTTTCTCAACTATCAGATAAAGACAGTCTAAAACCCCTTGGCAAACAGAACCATACAAGTATTTGGCCACTAGAGACATTTCAAGGGTCTGTTTCAGTGTAAGGGAAGACCGGGGGCAACCAAAATTCTACGCCTGACTCTCACAGGGGCTCAGTGCTAACAAAATAAGCAATAGAGCCAGGAAGGAAGAAGGCTCCGTAAGCATTTTAGTTCACTTGGGACAACAAGACTTTTCACTGCCCTGAAATAGGCTCTTAATATGTCACTAGCACCTCCTAATACAATATATTATACTGTTCAGTTCCATCATACCAATCATCTTTCAGACATCTATGTATTCCTAATTTCCCAGCATATTTCTGACACCTCTCATTTTCATTTATTTGAAAAGGAAAAAAATGTCTTCAGTTTGACTATTTACAAGAGTTTGTATGTGATGGAAAGCAGTTCAGCTTATGGATTTTATTTTATTTCCAGACACATGGGTTAGGCACCATTGCCTTAGACTTCTGGAGTAGTTTCTGCAACCTTTCAGGAACACTCCTGATATTTAAGGCTAAATTGGCATGACAAAGATGCTGAATGTACTAATTTAGCACCTAAAAAACAAGCCACTAAGAACCTTGTCAGCCAGAACATAAAGGAAATCAGCTTCAATTTTTTGAAGCAGTTGGGTATCTCTGTTGGGATGATATCCAAAGGGCAGATAGGTGTGCTGTAGTCATCTGTATTATTTTACTTAATCTTTGATTTTTGCAAATAATGATTCCCCTCACAGCATTTTCTGTATTTGGAATATGTTATACCTTACCTGCTGATACATAACAGTTTCTCACTCATGAGCTATTTTTTAAAGTTCCAATTAAACAATATAGGGATCAATAAAATAAAATGATTAATTGGATTTATAGGACTCTGACTTTTCTTCTTTTTTTTAAAACCATATTAAATGTTGAAGCATGGCAAAAAGTTAAAACAATTCTAAAACAGAATGTACTTAATACAGTTTAAAGTGACAGGCCTCCTGATATCTCGCTGCCTGATGGACTAATAAAGTAGGGGGATTGGTTTACTTTATTTGCTCAAAATACTAAAAAAATGTTTCTGAATGTATAAGTAGAGCAGAACTGTTCTGAATAGAAACCGGAAGGTACCTCAGCATATTCATCAGCCACATGGTAGCTACCTTGTAGCCTCATTGTATGATAGTAAATGAGACCTTTTTGTGTGTTGCATTAGGTTTTATACAGATGCAGAACAACAAGTATTTATTTCATATTCAACTTAATGGTGCCTAGGGATCTCTATTTCTATAAAGAGTTCACACACAGGGTGTAAAAAAGAAGAAAATAAAGCTAGTTTGATTTTTCCCATACCTTTTCCAAGGACAAAACTTGACTGTCATCCACAAAAAAGTAAACAGCAATGAGGAAGCATGTGGAAGAGAAAGGAAAAAGCTAGAGGTCTTTTTGTAAGATGGAAACATTATTTTCTCTCCCCCCCACACACATACGTTAGTGTGGGCCTGATTTCAAAAAGTCCTGTAACCGAACTCTATACGGAGTCAACAGGAACTAGGAGCCCATCTGAAAACCAGGACCTGTAGCTATGGCAGCTAACCAGACAAGATGTAATCTCTCTCTTTTACATGTTGCATCTTTAGCAGCCATTTCCTTGGGTAACCCACCTCTTCTCACACCCCACTACATTAAAATATAAGTAACTGGTTTAGAAATTTAAAAAAAAAAACCAACCACGTAATTTAAAAAAATAGTTAAAGGAATCCCAGATATTATTTAGTCAGGGTGGCTAACTCAGGTTGGTCCAATATAAATATGCCTTTTTTGTTTGTAATGGATACCCTGTTTCTAATGTACCACAGTGAATGTGGTGAAGTGTCCCCTTTTTTCTTTGATGGATGAAAGTTTTCAATTGTTTGGTTTAGATTATATGAATATGCTGCTTTTCTTTGATCTTTCTGCCTTCTTACGAAAAAAAAGTCATCTTGTTCTGACTTAGTTCTCCCCTTGTTTGTTTGGAAAAAAACAAGGATTTTAACCAGGATTTCCCTGTGCAATAGTTGTAATTTCTAAAATAGATTTCAACTGACTCAATTTACTTACTATTGTCTTTTGTCTAATCGTACCAATTCGTGATTGTCAGCCAACATATTAAGACAACAGAAATCAGAGGTGAAAAAAATTAATTTTCAACCACCTGCCTTCATAAGCACGCTATCATGAGTAATTTTAAACTTTTTGCTTGCACGGGAAAACTAAAATGAGAACAGACATTAAGTTTGCTTTCTCTGGAATCTACTAGATGACTCAAATGCATTGCTGAAAAACAAACACAGAATCAAGGTGGCTATGCATGCTGCAAGATGACAAAGACTGAGGTGAGGAAATGAACTTAGTGTAGGATGTTGGAATTCAGAAGGAAGACTGTAGTTTCTGTAGAAATACAAAAGACCAGGCAATGTAAAAGAAAACTCATAAAAATTAAAGCCCATCTGAATAGTTGGTAACACAGATCTCCTCCTACTCGGAAATGATCCAAAACACAGGAGGTACAAATTTCTAGTACCAACTGCTGTGAAATCATCATTATAAGCATATGCAGTAAGTAAAAAACCAGTGGAAGATAGTTTAAACAAACTAGAAAGTAAGAACTGGTCCGGCCATGTAGGTCAAATAAAGATAAAAAAGAAGAAAAAAAAAAAACAACCTCTATGTCTGGACTGTGTTAGGGTGTCACTTCATCTTTGGTATAAAATAGGCCATCCATAGGCTGCATTTGATCACAACTAGGAAAGACTACAGAAATTGTCAACAATTTCTTCTATCTATTGCTTTTTTGCACTTTTTTGACCATAAGCTCCTATCTACTTAAGTTTTTTTAAATGCTCTTAAGCTAGGTTTTTGCAATGTGACAAGCAAAGCAGACTAAAAACTTCTTAAAGCTCATAAAAAAGACTGCAGATAAAAAGCACTAATGCTTTTGCTAGCGATCACGCTTTGTAAATAAAAAAAATCTGCATTCTGCAAGAAAAAAACCCCTGCATTCTTTATAATGCAGTCATTTTTTTCTCAATTTAATAACTTTACTGTAAAATGCTTTAGCCTTCTAGAATTTTTTCTTTCAACACTTAAGACAAAGTTCATAAAAGTTCCAGCATTTTTCCAATCCTTACAGTTGCCACAGTTCCTTTATCAACAAGTTTTCTCCAAAAGAAGAAAAGCATTTTCTTTTTAAACTGTACAGTTTTTTGTTGTTCACCTCCAAAAATCTCAGTCTGTTAAACTTCTGCACCAGCTGAAACCAGTGTGAGAAAGTTTCAATACATTTTCGGTTTTTCTAACAAGACATTGACAGCTTGCCTTGAGAGCCTCTGACGTCCTTAAAATTAAGGCAATTAAGATTCAAGATAAACCTTACCTAAACATTTCTTTAAAAAAAAATCCAAAACCACACTAGATTTAAAACAAGAAGAAAAAAAAATTAAGAGAAAAAAGTAGCTTAATTTTTGAGGAAGACAATTAGTTTTCTCGTCAGCTTGCTCCCTCTTGACAGCCTCAATTTAAAAAAAAATCTAGTTACAGCTACAGGTAAATTCTGAATTCAAATGTTCATCCAGATGAAATGTCAACCCAGTGTCTTTCCTCTGGGTCTTTTCTTTAATTAAAAAAATATAGCAAAAAATAAAACTGTCAGACTACATGACGGAACCATTTGCACAGCACATAAAAACACAGTTGTGTTTTCGTTGGGAAAGTAGAAAATTAAAAAAAAAAGCATTCATTTGACGCCTGTGCAAACTGGAAGCCAACTTCTTGTTCAATGAAGTTTCTCCATTCAAGGCAAAGATTTGAGACCGACATTCTTCAGTCCTGTTTATTGTCTGTGAAAACAATTGAATTAAAGTGGTCATTAAGTCAAAACAACTTTGAAATAGGCTGCTGTCCTTTTCTTCCACCCAAATCCCTTTAAAAAGTATCCAAGCCAAACTAACTTTGCAGCTGTTTAAATATGAGGCAGCCACTAAGTTGAAAATAGTGAAGCCAAAAGCTGAGAAATCCTATAGTAGGGGCATTCCTACTCAGTGCAAAAGGATTTTTACTCTTATTTATGCTATGGTTTATGCACAGCCCAGCACATTAAAATGAAGCTATATGTATTTACCTAATGTTAAAGCTTAATAAAGTAGAAGGGAAAACTCTCTTTGTATTAAGTGGCACTATTTATTTTGGACACTAGTTGTCAACTCAAAGGGGCAGGGCCCAACAGGATTATGGATTCGCTTGAAGATAGAGTCGATTACGGATAGTTGCTTATATTAATTTCACTACGTGACTACTATTACAGGCTTAATAATGCCAGATGGTTACACAGCTATTGTAAAGTAATACGCTAATAAACACAGGCAGGGCAATGCATAAAAGAGTAACAGGAACTTGGAAATGCTTACGCCCCTTCAGTCTGTGGGGAGTCCCGTTCCGGGTACCTCGCTCCTGGCTGCAGTGGACGTGGCTCCAGCTAGGGGGATCCAGGGTACTGTTCCAGGTTTAGGTCCCTGGTGATACTCACAGAGGGGCAGGACTGGCAGTGTTCTTATACTTTAGCTGTTTACTGAGTGTGCACATACTGGCCCAATGCCACTCTCAACGTTCCCACAGGGCTGAGAACCGAGGTCATGTTATTTATCCCGTACTCGGCTCTCAGCTAGCAAGCATAGGGAGCTGCAGCTCATGAAGGCCGTCTGCTAAAGAACACCTGGTATTTTTGCCTAGAGGAATATAAATTTAACCTCTGCAGGACTACGTATGGCTTTTTATCTGACACTAGTATTAAAATGAAGGCTAATATTACAACAGAAGGAAAAATTCAACTTACAAACAAAAAAACATTTTCTGACAGCAAGAATAACTGGACAGGGGAACAGTTTGCCTAATGAGCCAGTTATGGGTGATTCAGTAGAAATATTCATGCTGTTAATAAATATATAGAAAATTTAGAAAGCACATGTACAGTCTTCCCAATTTAACACAGAGGGCATGGACTAGATGGCCAATATCACAGCTCCATTGAACCAAAATAACTCAGTAATATTTTGGAAGGGAGATATACCTAAAGTTGAAGAACTCCAAGCCAACTAAAATGTATGACCTCAGAACCAAAATTTTTGCTACTCTCCTCAGCATTCTCAGTTAACTCATAATTGGTGTTAGGAGTAAGCCCTTGAGTAAAGGGAATCCATTGTAAAGGAGGGTTATGTTTGTCTTTGTATGCCTGTTTGCGTTGTGGATGTCTGGTCATTCTTTTTCTTTGAGAATTTCTTGTGTTCAGTTTTAATGCTGCTTTTCAGCTGTTCAGATTTTTCTTCCTCTATTTATAGCCATTCAGGTTGGCCTGCCCAGCTTCTGTGATTTTACTGCCAATCTGAGGGCAATACAGTACACTTCCGATAATCCAGGACCTTTAGGACCCAGGGGGTGCTGGATTATCAAATATGCCAGACTATTGGAAGGGGGTACTATGAAGGGCCTGGGGTGGAGTGGGGGGGATGCGCCCCTCGGCGCTGCAGGATCAACCCGATAGCACCCCAGCTGCTCTGCCCCAGACTTCCCCAAGTCAGCCGCTGCTGAAATTGACCAGCGGCTGACTCCGGGAAGCCCGGGGCAGAGCACTCCAGCTGCTCTGCCTTGGGCTTCCTGGAGTCAGCCGCTGGTCAGTTTCAGCAGCGGCTGACTTGGGGAAGTCTGGGGCAGAGCAGCTGGGGTGCTGCCAGGTTGGTCCCGCAGCAAAGAGGGGCGGCGCTAGGGGACCAACCTGGCAGCACCCCAGCTGCTCTGCCCCAGACTTCCCCAAGTCAGCCGCTGCTGAAATTGACCAGCGGCTGACTTGGGGAAGTCTGGGGCAGAGCAGGTACAATTGTCTGGCTGCCCGGAGCACTTCCGGGTTCCAGATGGTGTCGGACCATCAGGAGTGCCGGACCATTGGATGCCGGATCACTGGAGTTTTACCGTATTTGGATTGCCAACATAGCTCCCATTAGTTTCTGAGAGTTACTCTGGGTTCTACTGGAAAGTTTCTTGTGGAATCATAGAATCCCAGAACTGGAAAGGACCTCGAGAAATCATCAAGTCCAGTCCCCTGCCCTCATGGCAGGACCAAGCATGGTCTATATCATCCTTGATAGATGTGTGTCTAACCTGCTCTTAAACATCTCCAATGATGGAGATTCCACAACCTCCACAGGGAATTTATTCCAGTGTATAACCACCCAAACAGGTAGGAAGTTTTTCCCATTGTCCAACCTAACCCTCCCTTGCTGCAGTTTAAGCCCATTGCTTCTTGAACTAGAATCTAAAATCTGTACTAAAAAAGACTGTTTCTCCCATTACGCATTCTTTAATTTGGTACTGGATTTATCCTTGCAGAATCCTGGAAATCTTTGTTTCCTACTTAAAGCCTCAGAGCTGCTGTCCAGCAAACAGATCTTTGGTCACAGGCAAGAGGGTGGATTCATGAAACAAAATAGTTTGATGTAACTTAACTTTAAAGATTTCACTTTTGTATATGTAAATGTAGAAGATGATTTGCAAGAGAAGAGATACCCATGGTCTAAAATGACTGAGGTATCTTGCTAATGAAGTGGAGTATTTTGCTCAGAGCCAAAAGTTAGAGAGTCAATTAATCTGTGGTATAATTTGCTCACATTACTGGATTTATGCAGAGGCATATTTTGACCCAGTGTTATCACCCTTAAATTTGAATACACTAGGATGAAACCCCTATAAAAACAGTTTAAGAGGGTAAGTGAAATAATTTCTTTCCAGGCCAAGAAAGAGAAAATCCCTCCACCCCAATTTTCTAGTTCTCTCATATATACAAGGCTAGTACAAAATCTTTATTACACTCAATTCAATTTTAAAATACTCTGATCCATTCATTGGTTGTTATTTTCAGGTTAGTTCACAAAAAGATAAATATAATTAAAGAAGTGTTTATAACCTCTTTCCCATGAGTTTCTAGAAAACTTTTGTAGGTTCTGCATGTTCCCTTGCCTATCAATGATTAAAATCAGCATCTAATCAGGTTAATTACTTCCACTATGGCACAATGGAAATTATTGTCTTATACTGAGCATCATTTTCATTATTATTAAGTGTGCTTTTAAAGTGAAACAAAATCAGTGTGATCTTTTATGCATGGTGCTTTGGAAAAATATGTTAACCTTTTTTTAAAAAAAAAACCCTAGAAATTGCACACACTTTTTCTGTATCAGTCACCTCCCAAGTCCTGGCACTGAAACGACAATTTGTAAATACAGAAACAGCTGGCAGGTTTCAGCAAAAACCAAACTAACAAAAAGGAACATCCAGATAGCCTGTAATGTACCTGCCTACGTGACTGAAAAAGAAATTAATATTAATATTAATATTAATGTTTACTCTGTTTTTTGCATGAATCACCTCAGTCTTCTGAGTAATAATTCTGGATCAGCAAATATAAGATTTGTTTTCTTTCGGGAACATAGGGAGAATTTTTTTAGGTATCCTTGGCTCAGTCATTAAGTGAGTTGAAAATAAGGTCACACCTTAAACGTATGGGCTGCGTCTAGACTTGCATGTTTTTCCGCAAAAGCAATTGCTTTTGCGGAAAAACATGCAAGTCTAGACGCAGCCCATACGTTTAAGGTGTGACCTTATTTTCAACTCACTTAATGACTGAGCCAAGGATACCTAAAAAAATTCTCCCTATGTTCCCGAAAGAAAACAAATCTTATATTTGCTGATCCAGAATTATTACTCAGAAGACTGAGGTGATTCATGCAAAAAACAGAGTAAACATTAATATTAATATTAATATTAATTTCTTTTTCAGTCACGTAGGCAGGTACATTACAGGCTATCTGGATGTTCCTTTTTGTTAGTTTGGTTTTTGCTGAAACCTGCCAGCTGTTTCTGTATTTACAAATTGTCGTTTCAGTGCCAGGACTTCTTTGGGAGCAAATGCAGTGAGCAGAGGTCTGAGATAAGATGAAATAGTCCCTCTTAGCTTTTCTTGAGTTTCCTTTCCTGCAGCTCTGCTCTCTCAAATATGCATATCCACTCAATGCCATTTACACTGCTTGACAATTACAGTCACATCCTGAGAAAAACTAACTACCAGATGTGGAACTTACTGCTCCATTTACATTGCTTCAGAGTTTGACCAAAAGTTGTATCCCTTTAACACTCTTAAAGACCTCTTTTGGATTTTGCCCCATGTGCTGACTGCTGAGCATAAAACCAGAGCAACTCCACTGAATTAAACAGCTACTCTGAATTTATACTATCCCAATAGAGAGCAGAACTTAGTTCCAAACACAATATCATATATGGCCTACTGATGGCTAATCATAGTATTACTTACTTAGACTGTTGGTAAGAATATGCAGGTGCATGTTCACTGGATGTTTCCACTGTCATCTGTTGCTGTTGACCAGTGGCTTCCTGTGATGAAGATGCTACAGTCTGCGGAGAAGTGTCAGGAACGACGCCCTAAGGAAGCAAATTAGAACACAAAGGCCTTACTGATATTAAATCACGTCAGTGAATTGCATGAAGGTATTCAGCACCATCTCACCACTTCTTTATTTCTGTGTATCGGTACCATAGATTTGCATTGTCGTGAGTGTCCGGGATAGCAGAAACCACATGCTGACAAGGCAGAAGTGCTATCAATTTACAAGGAAGATTTGCCTGGCAATGAGAAACAGCCTCAGTTCACAGACTGCCTGTGGCACTTTGCTCTAACATGCAGTGGCAAAAAATATCCATGCATTATGGGGAAGATCCCAGACCTGCTAAAGTTACAATGTTGCCATTGACTTCAGTGGAACCAGAGATTTCACCCTATATATGTTACATATGCATGATTGATCTGGTTTTTGACACACACCGATTTGACATTGACTTCTGTTTTGTACTGGTGTGAGAGCAGAAGCAAGTCCCATGGGATTTTGCAGTATATTGTGCTGTAACACCAGCGGTCCAGACACTGGAGCACGCGCTTTGAACAGTAGTGTATTTGAATTGCTGTAATGTTTTTATGTAGAGTGTTTTTGCTTTTAAAACAAATTTCAGACAAACAAGAGCTTTTACCTAGTAGAATGTTACATATATGCTTCAAAGCCTCATTAGTGCAAGTATGTATTCCGCATTATATGCATTTGACTTGAAAATTTGCAATAACAATTATTTCACTGACAATTTTGTTTGTCCTATTCTGTAATGTTTTAGTCTATTGGCTTGAGAAAGTAGCTATATTCTGTTTCCATTACTCCTGTGCATCAGCTACATCAATGAGACCAGCAGCGCTCTTCTGTGAATAGAATTTGTTAGTCGACTGAATTCTGTGGAGCCAGAAGAGGGAGCACAAAGCACTCAATTTTGTTATCATCTGAGTCTTATATGAACAAAGGGTGTTTCATTTTAAACCTCTATGACAAAGTGGGCAATTTCTTTCTCAAAGGTTCTTAAGAGTCCACTGTCTGCCATGCTGGCCAATACTGGCTCATTGTTTCCTTGTACTCTCCTATCTATCTGCGTCCATCTGTTGTCTCTTGCCTTCGATTTACATTGTAAATTCTCTGGGGGCAAGGGACATCTTTTTGTTGTGTTTGTATAGCGCCTAGCACAAAGGCAGTCATGTGCCCATGACTAAGTTCTGTGGTAGTATAATAAAATAATAACAACAACAATAGCCAGATTAGAGCAAATTGCATGGTAGGTCTTCTATTTTATTCATTTAGTAATTAATGAAGGCTATTCAAAGGTAGGCATTGTGATATATTTACAGCAAAATCAGATTAAGGGTGAAAATGATGCGATGGAAATTTATATAAGACCAGCTGAGTATGAAAAAAACCTCAGTTGTGGCTTTTCTTACCATGTGGTAGATCATTTGGGATTCAGAGAATTTGCAGCCATGGAGACTAGTAAAACCATGGTGGACCACTTGACTGAAGATGGAGAAGTGTCAAAACAATTGCTCAAAGAGCATCTCAACTGGCCAACTCATGGAGCACTAATAGCATTAACTCCAGAGGAGAGACAGCTGAAGACCAAAGCACTGAGATAATAGCACTCCTCACATTATCACAAAGTAGGGGAGAAGAGGTTAAAAATAGAGAGAATAATACATATTTCAGAGTAGTAGCATCTTTATTTCCCAAACCTCCCTCTCGTTGTGTCAGATGCCCTTATGATGATGCATAGAAGAGGAGGTTGGGCTGGAGTGCTCCCAGCAGCTTGTGCTCCGCAATTTGAGTAAATATTTACTCATTAGAATGTCATCAGCATGACTCAACCCCAAGGACGGAGAGAGTGAATCCTTCCTCAAGGATGAAAAAGCACTCAGTCAGTGCAGCATCCTCCACGTCTGTATGTACAAGAGGAAGGTTTCCATTGCTCAATCATTTTTTCTGGTTGCTGTATGTTTTCAGCAATTACCTACATTCACTAAGGACTGCATCAACCCCTTTTGCAATCTTCTCTTCTGGAATCTCTGTGGGTTCGTGGTTTGATGGTTGGTTTTGTTTACCAGCATTTTCCCATCTCCCACCCAAATACATGAAAAAATCAAGAATGGTTTATTCCATTTCCTATGCTCAGCAAAACAAATGCAAAAAACGAAGAGCAGTTGCAGATCTTAAAAAAAGAAAAACAAAAGAAAAGAAATTTGAAGTGTAATCCCAAGTTTAAGAGCAGTGTAAGAAGTGGTTTGGTAAAGCAACATTAGACCCTTCTTGATATTCAATAAGTTCAATGACACATAGATTTGTGATTTGTCACCCCTTCACCCTATATGTATGAATGGAGGTGAACTTACTTCGATAGGGACAGCTGTTGCAGGCACAGGAGTGTACTGGGGAATGTAGGTCCCTTGCATAGGTGCAGCAGCAGTCATATACTAGAATAAGTCAAAGGCACATCAATATTAGAAATAGAAAATCACAATTCAACCTTAGAAGACTGTATTAGAAACGTTACATAGATTTTGTTACAGTATAGAATGCGTTTGTGTATATGTTCTGTATGCCACACCATTTTTTTGCTACTAATTTTACTTAATGATTGGAATTGGCAATTAAAATCACATGTCCTCAGCTGCTTAGTGATGGCGCATATGACTGAAAGTAAGATCAAGAGATCATAGTATACAGTGCTGATGGATTTAGATTTTATTATTTCATCATATTTTTTTAACTGGAAAGTGCCCAATTTCTATCCATGAATACAATAAAAGTTTAAAGAAGTTATTGGAATCCACATTTTTAAATGGTACCTACAAGAAAACCTCTAAAACTTAGGGCTAAAATTAACATGTTTATTCCACAGAACTCTTCAACCCCAAATGTGGGAACAATCATGTCTGTGGGAATATGAAAATCAGGAAGGAACAGATATCTGAGTATTTCTGCATTTTGTACTTAAGGGCACAAACATAGTTTTCTTCTACATATGAATTATTTTTAATATTCTGGGAAGCCTTTTTAAATACCATGAAACACTGCTAAATCGTTATTGTTTCAACATATAGTACAAGATAGTACTAGTTTCTTCTAAGATATTCTCTCTCCCAAGTACTACAGGAAACCAGTCCTTAATGATAAGTAGATGTGAAATTCACCATTGGTCTGCATGACTCTTCAAACACAGTATTGATTAAGCAGTGCTTAGCTGCTGAATACAAAAGATTGTTTAAATTCCTAACTTCTGCATGAAATACTCAAAAACTGTCAGATCTAGACATTGTTCTTACTCAGTCCTATCTATGTACTCTGACAGAAAAACAACATGTGTGTCTGAATTGTCTGGACGGCATCTCCAACTTGTTATCGTCAAAGATGCACTGGAGATATGAACTGTCCAGGTTGTATTTGACGAATTTTAAAATGACTTAAATATAGCTTGGACTTTCTGGCTGAGTTTGAAGGTGCATGCAGCTTTTCTTGCTTATTTTGAAATACATGTTTCAAGCTCTCTCTCAGCTTACCTTTAAATGAATTGTCTTGTTTGAAATGTCCATAGCAAAACTGCATTATGAGACTGCAAAGAGGAGCATAACAGATGCACTTCTTGAAAAGTATTTGGGGTACAGAAAAGGAATATAAAAGCATACTGAGGGAAAAATTATGCAGTCCTTGTTTAGGTAAAAGACCCACTCACTTCAACGGGAGCTTTGCCTCTATAAAATAGTGAGTATGGAGTGCAGGATACAGGCTAACATTAGTGGTACCACATTATATAATGGTGTTGTTGAAAGTCGTTGCACCTTCCTTGAATCTGGCTATAAAGAGGCAGGAGTGTCACTCAGGCATACACAGCCTGCCTCCTGTCACAATGTCCTTATGATTTTTTGTTTGTTTGTTTCTCTTCAAAAAGAGAATTGCTGCAGACTGAGGCATTCAGCGTTTCCTTGGTCATTGTCAATCAAACAATGACTATTAAGCTGAATATCCTTGTTGCACTGAAGCATATATTCTGGGCCCCCCATTACAGAAAGGATGTGGACACATTGATTGGAGAGAGTCCAGCAGAGGACAACAAAAATGATTAGGGGGCTGGAGCACATGATCTACCATGAAAGGCTGAGGGATTTTGGCTTGTGTAGTCTGCAGAAGAGAAGAGGGAGGGGGGATTTGAAAGCAGCCTTTAACTAACTGAAAGGAGGTTCCAAAGAGGATGGAGAGAGGCTGTTCTCAGTAGTGATGGATGGCAGAACGAGGAGTAATGGTCTCTTGTTGTAGTAGGAGAGGTCAAGATCAGATATTAGGAAAAGCTATTTTACTAGGAGAATGGTGAAGCACTGGAATGGGTTACCTAAGGAGGCAGTAAAATCTCCATCCCTAGAGATTAAGTCCGGGTTTGACAAAGTCCTGGCTGGGATGATTTAGTTGGGGTTGTCCTGCTTTGGGCAGGGGGTTAGAGTCAATGACTTCCTGAGGTCTCTTCCAACCCTATGATTCTTTGATATAGCAGGGATATTCTCTGGTCATGAGTTTTAGTCACTGAGGAGAATATTATAAGAGCGTGAACCTGCTCTGTTTCTTTCTCATTCGTTCTGCTTTGTAACACTGCTGTTATCTGGCACTATATCAATCTATAGCAGTCTTCTAAATTAACTGTTAGCTTTTACTTGAAGTACTCATTCTCATAGTGCTACAAAGCCTGTTTCAATTCGCACTGACTTTTGTTTCTCTCAAGCAAATTATTTTTAAATTAAAAACAGCTCTATGAAAAAAGAGAAGAAAGGCTGTTCTAGGCAATGTTGTTGTTTTTTTAAGTTCTTCCTGGAACCCAGCAGAAAATCAGCATGTGTGTTCTGAATCATTAGATGTGATTGTCCCTATCCACATCTTAGTTTGCCCACACACACATAGCTAAATGAAGTCTTAGGAAACATTACAACATTATTAAACCACCTTTAACATCAGGCCACTTTATTTGTTTCAATAACCTTCAGCAGGGAGTTCCAGAGGACAACTATGGAGTTATGCATGAAATGATGTTTACGTTCATTAGTTCTAAATGTACAGCCCTTTGGGATACAAGCAACTTAGGAGACTATTTCCAGATCTGCAGCTGACACATTGAGTGACCTTTGGCAAGTCCCTTTGTCTCAATATTTGATTTTCTCCTTCTGAAAAAGGGTCATAATACTTACTTTTATTGTAAACTGCCTTAAGCTCAATAGAAAAACAAAGTGATCCAACATTTACTGCTGATTTAACTGGCAGAAAATTTAGCCTCATAAGTGTTAAGTGCCAATCTCGCAAACAGATGCATCAATGTATGTTAGGGTGTGTCTGCACAGCGGAGGTAATGTGCTGTCTGGGGGTGCAATTTCTAAATTGCACTAATGTGTTGCTCATTAATTGGCCCATGTAGATCCTACTGGTTTACACTAGTGTGCTTTAACACAGGGCTGTTTTAAACAGTACTACACTGAAGCACAGTAGGGAACATTTAGTGTGCACCAGCAGGGTTTACAGGGACCAAATAATGAGTAACACATTCATAATGAGTAATCAAATATTGATACATTCACCAAGAACAATAGAAATACACTGACTCCTGTCCCCTCCTGATGTGTATCTTTGGTCATCTTGGGGGCCAATGGAAAGTTCCACCACTGACTGAGCTGAATGCCTTATCACAGGCTTAAATGCCTTAATATCCTCATAGAGTCTGTCAGGTTCTATCCCCATGCTTAATTGACAGTAAACCTGGCTGGGTGTCTTCATACCTTAATGGATCTTGTGGTCATTGGACGGTTTGCTGTGCCAGTTGTCTGTGCAGAACTGGGACAGCACACAGGGAGAACACACACATGCAGCCAAACATCTGATCACACCTGATGATCCAGCATCAGTGGGTTCCAGAGGCCAGAGCTATACCAGAGTCACAGGACCTCAGTGTGGCTGGTTTCCCATGATTCCCTAGAAATGAATGTAATTTGGGATTGGGCACTGGTGGAGGGGAAACTTCTGCTAGGAGATCTGCCCAGAGATTTCCTCTACTTTAAACCACTCTTCACATATTTTACTGCAGGGAGTGGGATGAGAGATACATACACACACATTTGCTCAGCTTACAAGTGAACAGATGCCTTAACCAAAATGAAAATTAAGTTTCATTGCTGCCAAAATAGAAACAGGATCTAAAAATCAAATCATGCTTCTTTTTCTCACTTGTTATCATCAGAAATGGAAGTTCTGTAGCTGAAATGTAGTTAGCCATTTTGCTGAAGATGAACAAGTCAGAATAAACTATTGTTCACTCTCCCACAATTGTGTTGGCTTTTTGACAGCAAAATGAATAGTGATTCTAAGACATAGGGAACAGTAAAATAGTATCTGTTTGGCATAATCATTTTTCTGACTGTAGCTAATGACTGACAATTTCTACCAAGAAAAAGAAATGGTGTTGGCAGTGCTAATTCTTCTCATTTACCTTTAAACTGTTATTGTTTTCACATACTGTCCCTAGAGTTTGCAATATTCTAGTGCAATGCACACCTCATGATGTCTGACTGTCTAATATCAAGCCTTGTTTATTATGGACACCAATTAAGCTTTAATTGATTCATTTCACACTTTCTTCTAGCGTTTTATTTCTGTCTGAGGACACAAACTATAGAGAACAAAGTCACAACAGTCTAAGTAAATGTAAAGAAATATGTAACTTTTAAACCACCCAGTTTTACATACTTTTGAGACTGTGATCTATTGGTTTGTTTGAAATGTTTGCAGTCAGGGTGCTTCTGATTTTAAGATAATATAATGCAAAGAGAAGAAGCCTCAGGGATATAAAAAATTAACTCTCTTGACCACAATAAATCTCAGGATGTGCTATATAATGAATGCTGAACAGGGATAAAAATGGCATAAAATCCCAATCAAATTTCCCTGGTTCGGACATCACAACATCAAAGGAATCTGGAAAACACCAATTAATAGGTTTAATTATATGCTAGATATAGACTGTAAGTTTTATTCTCACTGAGTAGTATTCACTCATATGAGTAGACTTACAATGGTTAATAGGCCTGCACACGTGAAGATGAATTGTAGGATGAAGCCTTTAAAAGTGTGAAAAACCCTTTCTTAGTTCTTTCATAGCTGTGGGTCTTTTTTAACAATTATTTAAGGATCAGAAAGTACTGTGAATCCCGTGAAAATCTTACAGCAACAATTTACATGCTTACCACAATACTCAGATTCTTTTGAGCTGAACTCAGAAACAAATGGAGGAAGCTATTCTCATTTCGGCAAGC